CTGTGATCAAAGCTGTATTTTCAGCATCATTACTCCAGTCTTCAGTGTCACATGATCTTCAGAAATTATTCTAATATGCTGATTTGCTGCTCAAGAAACATTTCTGATTATTATCAATGTTGAAAACAGTTGTGCTGCTGAATACAGTATCTTTGTGGAAACTGATACATTTTATTTTTTCAAGACTTTTTCAAGACAGATGAATAGAAAGTTTAAAAAAATAGCATTTATTTGAAATCTCTTGTAACTGTCTTTATTACTGTCACTTTTTATAAACACATGTTTATTTTACTATACCTATGCATTTGTAGTTTAGTTTTTTTTTATATTACAGTATTCCTGATCGAAAAATCATAACCAAAAAAAAAAAAAAGAAGAAGAATTAAAAGAAAAATACTGTCTATAGAAAGGAATGGAATGTAAACAAATAAATAAATAAAAATAGAAGAATGTTTCATGAATTAATTATTAGTTATGAATTATTAGTGATTACTGATCAAATCAGCAGTCTTTGAGAGACTATTTATTAGGATTTATTACTGTTTCTTACTATTACAAGATTCTGGGACTGCCAAGAATATTGAAATATTTACAGTGAATTAGCCTGTTGTATCAGAACACTGTCGTCAGTTAAGTAGCATCCTCCAGAGCTTCTACAGTGGAATATAAGCACACGTTCTGGCCGCGTTATAATGCGGTAACGGGGTGGAGGTCACCTTTGAGAGGACACCTGCAGCATGTTTGAGGTTCTGCACAAAGGTGTCCTCCATCTCCATGGCAACAGCGCAGCGGTCCGCCCCCGCCGGCACCCTCCCCGCCATCAAGTGGATCCTGGAGAGAGACATTAGCATGAGTTACTCTCAGCAGAGGTAAAACATCTCGAGGTGGCAGCTGATGGAGAAAACGAGCTTCCTGTGGAGGACGTGTGTTAGATCAGACGTTCAGACATCAGGGGAGCCATTTCAGCACATTTCTGACTGTTTTAGTGAGTAACGGCGTGAACTGTCATGTCTAGACGCTTACGTTTTGTCTGTGCGATGTTTCCAGGCAGCTTTAGTGTGCGCTGAGCGGGAGGCCGGTTTTATGCTTTACATAATAAGAATGAAGCATAGAACTGTGAATATGAATCAGGTTCATCAAAAACTGCAACCCTGTTATACTTGCGTTATGCATTTGTGTCCTAATCAGGTGCCAAAAACAAAGCAACAAGCAATAAAAGTGATCTTGCCCATTTCCACCACAGAAAAAAGGTATTTTCTTGCAGGCCATTCTTCTGCGAATAAAAGCCAGAATTACAAGATATAAACAGAATTGTCAAATATAAACTTAAAAAATAGAAATGCTGAGGGTTTTTTTTTTTTTTTGCAATTCCAAGTTTACATCTACTAATTAGGGCTTTTTTTCTCAGAATTGTGCATTTACCTCTCACAATTCTGTTTTTTTTTGTTTTTTTTAGAAATAAAAAGATCTTACACTTCTGACTTTTCCTCTCAGAATTGCAAGTTTATAACAATTTGGAGTTTATATCACAATTTTTAAGAAAAAGAAAACTGAATTGTAAGATCATAATTGCAAGAAGAAAGTCCGAACCTTTTTTAAACAAAAATGTAAAAAAATAAAAAAAAAAGTGAAATGTAACTTGGAAGAATTCTGACTTTTTCTCGCAATTCCAAGTTTACATTTAATATTAAATTACATTGCAATTTAATTTTACATTAAATAAATTTTTTTGTAAAGGTAATTGCAGCTTTTTATTTCACAACTCTGAGTTTATGAAAAAAGTCAGAATTATGAGATATAAACTTAGCATAAACTTAGCTTAAAGTAGCAATTCTACTATTGTACCATATATCGAGATGGCTCCCAGTATGACCCATGCTGACCATTCGGGCAGGTATTTGATGAAGATGAGGGCCATGAGGGCACTGATGACAATAAGGTACGCCTGCTGCAGCCGCAACGGCCCTTTCCAGTGGATGCAGATCATTCCCACGACGCCGAAATTCCAGATGATCATCACTAACGTTGGGTAGTCCATAGCCACGTTATACGTCTTGAACACCTCGCTGGAAAGGAAAGGGTTTGACAAAAGTTAGGAACTACAACTACTTATAAATAAGGAACTAAATTAGGAATAAAGATGATTTAAAGGGGTCATATTATGAAGTGTTTGATTCATCATCATCAATCGATCTAGTTTGATTCATTTCTGCTAATCAATTCATTTACATAATCACTCAAAATTGTTCATGGAACTCTGTCATATTACATTCTTTAAAATATTGCTGCTTATTACCACGTACTGTTATATTACTCCATAAAAAATGATTAGATATCATTATTTCGTTTGCTCATTTAGTGTAAAAAAAAAAAAAAAAAGCAACTTTTGGTCTCAAAAGTTTAAATTGTGAGATAAAAAAATGAATTTTTATTCCAGGGATTCCATACTTGCATGTAAATCCAACACCAAATGTAATAATAATAACAATAAGCTCTGCGACCAACAAAAATACAATTAGTGAAAAGCTAAAGTTACAAACTACACTAGTCACATGAGTTCAATGCCACCATCACTAAACTTCTGACAGCTCTTTCTGTCTTCATTAAAAACATTTTCCTTGAAAGTTGCAAGTTAGAATAGTTTACAAGAGCATGATTACAAACACAACAAGGCTATAAAGCCACTAGTGAGTAGATGAGTTGAACTGTTTGGCGTGATGAAGTTTAATGTCCCTGAAAGCCTCTGTAGTCCCATTTAGACACTTTTTTTCAAGACAAATAAAAACTTGAAAAAATCGCAAGGGTGTACTAATGATGGCTTTTATGTTGTAGAATAAAACAAGACAACATCTTGAGCTTGTGAACACCACAGACCTTGTTTCAGACATTTAACCAAAAACCTGTTCAAAAAAATAATGACTTGAGGAAGATGGAATTAGAATGACTAAAATGCAACTTGTTTCCAGATTTGGCCTACAGAAATATGTCATCTCTGCAGCAATTTACTGGACTAAAATCCTTGTCCTCATGCGTATTAAAAATGAACACAGTTAGGATGACCATACAGTACATGCTCTTTTTCCTGGACATGTCCATCCCGGGATTTCTAAACTGCCTAAAATGTCCCGGTTTTAGCTTTGTTTTTCTATTGTTTTCATACTTGCTTAAGGTAATGACTGAAAAGTAGTTTGACCAATAGCATGCAGGCACTGCACATAATCAACCAATCGTAGCGTGCGAGAAGACGGGATCTAGAGAACAGTGCAGCAATGCAAATACAAATACATATGTGACCCTGGACCACAAAACCAGTCTTAAGTGTCAATTTTTCGAAATTGAGATTTATATATCTATATATAATAAGCTTTCAATTGATGTATGGTTTGTTAGGATAGGACGATATTTGGTCGAGATACAACTATTTGAAAATCTGGAATCTGAGGGAGCAAAAAAATCTAAATATTGAGAAAATCATCTTTAAAGTTGTCCAAATGAAGTTCTTAGCAATGCATATTACTAATCAAAAATGAAGTTTTGATATATTTACAAAATATCTTCATGGAACATGATCTTTACTTAATATCCTAATGATTTTTGGCATAAAAGAAACATCAATAATTTTGACCCATACAATGTATTGTTGGCTATTGCTACAAATATACCCCAGCGACTTAAGACTGATTTTGTGCTCCAGGGTCACATATAATGTATAAGGAGTGTAGAGAGTTGTTAGATAGACCCGGACATATTAGGCAATTTAGAAATCCCAGCAAGGACATGTCTGGAAAAAAGCGGGCGTATGATCACCCTAAACACAGTGTAAGATGCACACTAGTACCTCCTGCAGTCCAGTGCTTTAGCGTACTGCACCGCCAGATCCAAACCCTGTCTGAACTCCTGCTCTCGTCCAGGAACAGCACCCAATCCCAGATCTCCAGCCCTTAAATCTCCTGGAGGACAAAATCACACATTCCTAAAGATATCGTGACATCTCAGGCCATTGTGACTTTATCAGTGCAGTGAAAGTTTGAATGCCAAGCTTTTTACAAATGAACATAAATGGGGCAATCACATTTGAGGTTTTCTAACTTTATTTTATAACAGTATTTATAAATTAAGTTCTATCTATTGGACACAATTCAATTGCTTGTGTATGTTACTCTGATTCTCAAAAGGCTGGAGGATGTAGATGTTCATGAAATGAAAACCCTGAAGACAGAGAGCACAACCAAAGACTGAAATAATCCACAAAACGGTTTGAATGAGGTCTGCATATGAAGTGCTGCAAGATGAACTAGTTGCAGAACACTGTGGAGAAGAAAAGGAGGCATTTCTGCCTTGCAAACACTGAAATGTGTTAAATGGTGATTTAGTGTGGTGCAACAAGTCTTACATCAGAGCATTGCATCACATGGGTTCATGCTTCCCCCGTGAGTGGAGAAAGGTCGGATCTATTCCATTAAGCAGCTCTATCTGCATATGAAGCACCACTATATCTGTGACCAATGAACTCAAGAGTTATTTTATTCCTGTCTATGACAAACACCCTTCAGAGACCTTTAACTGCGAGCCGACAGGTTACAGAACACGACTCATTATTCCACTGCATCTGCAGTTTCCCTGTCTATCTATCTATCTATCTATCTATCTATGTTTCCATCTGTCTGTCGCTCACTTGCAGTCTTACCCGGGGGGGTGTTTATGAGCGCAAACTCGAGTCCCGTTTCATCCTTCACGGTTTTTAACTCTTTCAGGTCGGAGCTGTAGATCCACGCCGCCTCGACCGCGTGGAACCCCGCACGCGCCGCGTCGCGCATCCGCTGCGTGAGCTCCGGTAACTCCGTGAAGAGCCATGAAATATTGGCACAAAACTTTAACGGCGCCATTGAAGCGTCTGCAGCAGGACAAACATGTGCAGCTGAATGAGAGAGAGACCGCAAAATAATAACCAACTGAATGATCAAAGTCCAGCGCTTATTGATCAGCCGCTGTCTAAACACGTGCTCAGTGTTTACATCCTCAGCGCTCAGCTGACTGAACACGTGACTCTGCGCCTGCGCAGTGCGCACTGATGCTTGTTCACACAACGCGCTATTACACATAGTTATGCATATTTTAAGTGATTACTTGCAACATTCTTAATTATTACTGCCATTATAATATATCATCTGACTCTTATTTAATTATTTTCCACATAGAGGAGGAGCTGAACAGGGTTAATTATCACACTTCTTAGGGAATTTCTGTATAGACACAAACCTTCAAGTCTTGACTACTAAACAAACATTTCACTGTTATTGCCCAGATAAAAAAGATTCTAACTCTATTGATAGTGGTGCTAGCTCTAACACTAAATGGGGAATGTTGTCACAATGGGAATCTGCTATTAAACAGCCTAGAGGCATTTTAGCAAAAAGTAAATAGAAATGTTTTGGCCAAAATAGATTTTTAGTTAAAATTAGAGGGGGGGAATGTTCTTGTCCTGGCAATACAGTTCAACCTTTCAGTTTAGTTCAAATCTATCTTCATTATACAGTTGATCGGTGCCTTGATGTAGGCTATTTCAGTGTCGTTTAATTGTGGTAGTTGCCCAAAATAACTTTTCGTTTGAAGAACAAAATTCTAAATTATTCAAATTTAAGTTTTGAACGAGATGTTTGAAACCAGCATGTGAATGACTAATTATTACTGAGATTTAGACCTTATTTTAACTTCCAACAACCCCCCCCTCAAAAAAAAGAAAAGACGTCTGTTGGATATTCTATGAATTTGCCCAGGTTTTAGGGTTTGCTTACTACATTTTGACATTTAGAAAAGTCTTTGTTTCTTTTTCTGGCTGTGACTTGTACAGTAGCTTCAGCAATATTGCTTTAATGTTTTTAAAAGTCATTACCTTTGAATGTCAAGGCTGCCAGAGATCAAACGTGTTCACAGAATCATTTGAATGTGAGATACAGGAGAAACGCTGGTGCTGAGACCAATGTTCCCGTATGTTTGAAGATGATAACAATGAGCAATGAAGGAAGCGCTGAAAGTGCAAATGCTTTCTGCTTGGCTGGCGTATATGCCTTATGCATGATGTATTGACAGAATTCAAAAATGGAAACCAAGCCATCCAGTTTTAAATCACTGTATCTCATAGAAGTGCATGCATATATACTATATACAGAACCACCTCCACCCGCATCGTGTTTGACACGATCTAATGTGTTTAATCCTCTATGCTTCAGTGTTCCCACATGTTAACATATCATTTTCCTTCACTTTCATGCTATGAAAAATACTTATATTGCATTGTTGGAATTAAACTGCTGTCTTAATGATACCAATAATATGCTGTTTTTAAGGCCACACAGCATTATTTTTAATATGGTCCCATTTTCATGAAAGACACATGCAGAAACTCTTCAAACAGAGCTGTTAAACTTTATCTAACATAGTTTTACAGTAAATAGAAAACATGAATGCAATATTGCAGTTCTTGATTTATTTGGATATACTGTATATGTATATATATATATATATATATATATATATATAATCATCTAAAAGATGATCTCAGAACTCAGACTTTATTCAGTTACACAGTGTAGACTTTGTAGAAACTCAAATATTTATGAGTTATTGTTTTACACCTACTGTATGTTTTTTTTTCATACTCATTGGTATAGAAGGTGATGTAATCCTGTGTGAGTGTCTTGCGTATCATTCCATGTTAATGCTAAATATTCAATACAACACCTGCATGGAGGTCAGGTAAGGTTAATGAACCACCTGGGCTCAGCAATGCTCATGGAATATAAAAACCACAGGACAATCTGAGAAGAACAACACATTATGCATAAGCAGCAATGACTCAGAATAAAAGTCAACAGTAGTTACATCTCTCTTTCTTCAATAAGACAATCGCTCATTAATGCAACCACGTCAAACGTCCATTAGAAGTGAGTTAAGTACTTCCTATCAGCCTTTTTCTAAAGGGAGTTCATTAGAATCCACTCTAAGAGCATTAGAATATGCTTTAGAATATGTGTGATTATGATTGTGAGTCATTTGCTGTCTAGCATACTAACATACAGATCTTACTATTTCTGCAGTATAGTACTGTAGTAGTATGTAGCTTGCTCTATTCTTTTTCTATTCTATCTGTTTTCTTTTTATTTATTATATAATTGAAAAAAACCTTGCTACATGTACTGCATTAAGGTAACAGACTTGTTATAGCACTTGCATATCATTGCTCTTTTGTTGATTTTGATTGCTTCCATTGTCCTCATTTGTAAGTCGCTTTGGATAAAAGCATCTGCTAAATGACTAAACGTAAATGTAGTAGTAACAGTGGAAATAATATGCTATAACCATCTCTTTTAGACATTTTATTTAACATACAATTTAAAATACGGCTGTTTTTTTTCCCAGGCAAAAATGGACACCATGTCATGTGACAGCAACTCAGCTTTTTGGATCATTATCAGCAAATATTGTCAACCCCATACACAAATGTAATATATGTACATATATTAAATTTCATATATGTAATACATATATAACATTTTTAAAATTACATATATAAAATTACATTTGTTTAGTTTTTAGTTTAGTTTATTTTGCACAAGGATAAAATAAATACATAAAAAAAAATAAAACAAAAAGGTACAATCCATATACTGTGCAGAGAGAGGCTGAAACCCCAAAGGGCTTATTTAGAGCCTCCACCTAAACAATAAAAAAAACAAAAACAACTTATGAAATTAAAGAAAGAGCTACCGTAAATTACAATAACAAATATATAAATGTAAATGACTACAAATTGATCACAACATATTTCAAAAACCCAGAAATACAGTAATATACTACAAAAACAAACCTTATATGGTACATATAAATTAATTTACATATATAAAAAACTTAATTGGAACAGTTTGAAATTGGAATCGTTTCATATATTAACATATATTTAGCCCATACAAATATATGTTTATGTATGTGTAATACATTTTTTGGACATATATGTTCAAACCCATCAATACATGTTGATATTATATAAGTAAATATAGATGCATTTTTATAAATTACAAAAACATACAGATTACATATATAAATAAAAATGTAATGTGGCCATATATTGTGGCTACATATATTACAACACAAAAATCATCATATAGATATTATTAAACATTATTCAACTTATATCTTCATCAACTGTATATATGTGGAAAAAAAAACATGGCCTTATAGGTAACATATATGGCAATATCACTCTTGATAGCTCAATATATGCCATATGTTACATTTCTGTATGGGACATACCATCTAGAAGAACAGTGTGTATACTGTGCAGTGTTCAGTAAATAGTAAATCTATATGAAGCAGTAAGCAGATGGTGGACGGTCTGATGCACATAAACCCCCCTAGAGAAGAAAGCCGGAACTGCCGTGAGAAAGCAGGGGTCACTGGAGCAGGAAATTGAAAGTGGGACCGTTTAGACCTCTCAGGTCTGAGCCCTAACAAGCCTGCTTTAGCTATGACAGCCAGACGCCGCTGCACTTATCAGTCCAATCTTCAGGAAGCACTTTCCATCAGCCAATACCTGAGCTTGGACAGATGTTTACCGCACCTCTGCAGGAGAACGACGAGGATGAATGTAAAGCAGAAGTCTTCAGCTCTTTATATTCTGTACTTTGATTAAATGTGTTTCATTAATGCACTCTAAATAATGCTGGGTTGTTTTAACCCAACTTTGGGTCAAATATGTACTAACCCAACTGTTGGGTTAAATTTTTCAATTACATTTTTAACCCCAAAATTGGGTGAGTCCATATTTGACCCAACGTTGGGTTAAAACAACCCAGCATCTTTTAGAGTGTGGGTATTAATTAAAAAAAAAAAAAAAGCTCTTCTCTGCATTTTAAAAGAGTATGTTTAAAGGGATAGTTCACCCCAAAAATAGAAATCATTTACTCACCTTCATGTTGTTCCAAACCTGTTTTTCGGTTGAACACAAAAGATGATGTTTTGAAGAATGTTGCTAACCAAACAGATGCTGGTAGACATTGACTTCCATAGTATTTTTTGCCTACTATGTAAGTCAATGGCTACCGTCAGCTGTTTGGTTGTGGTTGCTTGGGCTTTGCCAGTTAGTTGCTAGGGTGTTTCTTGATAGCTGCTAAGTTATTGCATTAGTAGTTATTAGAGTGTTCTAGCTGGTTGCTAAGGTATTCTTGGACTCTTAAATCATTTAAAATCCTTTTTATTTTAGGATGGCTTTACATTTACTTTTGTATTGCTTTTGTGTGTGTTTTTTGATGTTGATTTATTATTGGCTGTAGTTGTTTTTACCGTTCAGTGCTTTGAGAAAGCCACTATATAAAATAAGGTTATTGCATCATCATCATCATCATTATTATTATTATTATAACTATTGACCTGACAGAATATTTGGTGTAGAATTTACTTTAAAACAATTTTCACTAAGAAATTGCTAAATTTCACAAAAGTAAAAAGAAACACCAAGTAACACATTGAATTAAATGTGAAATTTTAAAGCAAAAGAAAAACTGTAGCTGTAAATTAATGATTAGTGATTAATAATTAGTTTTTTTTTTACACTACGCGATTTTTTAAAAGTGTGTGTTGCCAGTTTTTAAAAAAACACTTTTTTTTTTAAATTCACATTTGCACAGTAAGAGTGCATGAAACCAATCTAATTATTTTACAAGCTGATCATTCACTGAGATCAAAATATCACAATAATTAAGACACGACGAGATTATCATGTAAATCCATGGGTGTTCACCCATAAGTGAATCAAAGTCAATGACCATTATTCCGGAGAAATGGCTCATTCTTAATCAGTGCAAATGGTCATTACCTGTGTGCTTTGGACTGTAATGTTCCAGGTTTGATACATTCTAATTTTCCACCGTTGTAATTGTGCAATAATCCACTGTGACCCGCTATCCGGCAGGGCATTGTGTTGCCATAATAACCTGGCCTTGGA